CACCATAATGGCTACCGACCCTGACGAGGGAGATAATGCGAAAATACAGTTCCGAATCTTTGGAGGAGCCGATGCCAAGCTTTTCGACTTGGAAGTCGATGAGAACCAGCCTGGGGTGGTGCGGATTCTCACTCGAGCGGAGTTCGACTATGAAGCAAAGAATAACAAATTTTACTTGGAAGTGCAAGCCACTAGGTGAATTTCAATTTTTCTCCTCTTTTCCAAAAATGTTCTTGAAAATTTACTGCGTTTTAGTGGTCAACTGAGCTCCACCGTAATTCTGCGAGTGCACGTCTCCGATGTAAACGATAATCGGCCGGTACTCAACGATTTCATTGTGCTCATCAATAGATTCGAATCAGAAAATTCTATAACACATGTTGGAACCGTTCCAGCTTTGTGAGTTTGAATCTTCTCAAAATGGCTCATTGAAACCATGTTGTTACAGTGATCCCGACCAAAACGCGACCTTGGAATTTTTCATGGAAGATAATCAGCTTCTAACAGTGGAAAAATTCACTGGAAAGCTGGTTTTGAAGAGTCAGTGGAAGAGAAACATTGATACAAATTTCAAAACTTGTGTTTCTGGTAAGTCGCTTCTAGAGAGTTTGGGCAGAATTTTTTCTATTGCCTTAATTTAGATGGTCCCAACCGAGTTTGTGCCAGTTGTCGCTTTATTCACGTCCATCTGACCCAAGATTTGCTCCGAGAAGCTGCAACAATATTTTTGCCGAAAATGTCACTCGATGACTTCTGGGATCCACCGGTTTTCAATAGATTCAGGTAGGGACTAACACAATAATTTCTGGACTCAGCAATATTTTTCAGACAATCACTGGCAGCACTGGATACTTGGGACGAACAGAATATCTTCATCGTAGGAGCACAACACGCTGCTGAAGGAGTAGAAGTCAATCTGGTTGTGATGGATAGAGGAAGACTTGTAAAGTGGGTAAAAAGTTTCTAAAAATTGTTTAGAAGGGTACCTGCTTCTTCGGGTTATGTGAAAAATTCTGTATGGGTCACTCCCCTAGCAGCAGCTCATAAAAATCAATCGCTTCCGAGAAAATCAACTTTAAACTCTAGCCGGTTCATGGTCTTTTT